AACAGCTGGGACACACTGTGGAGCTGAGGGGGGAGGGAGAATGTTTGAAAAGAGATCAGTGAAGAGTGAGCAGGAAGCTCCGCAAATTCCAGACTCATGGGATGGAGGGCAGTCGGGAAGGAGTGAGTGTGGTCACGGTGAGAACACGCACATGAGGCCTTGGATCGCACAGCCATAGTTAGGCTTTCGGTGGTGGGTTTATAGTGTGGGTGAGTACTTTCCTTTGGGGAGAAGGGACTATTTCATTTTATTTTATTTTTTTGGACACCAAGACATAAAGTACCTACCTACCTAGGGATACCCAGAACCAGTGACCTTATTCCACAGCAAATACTTCAAAATGAAATATGATATGCTCTATTGAGCCCTTAAAGAATCCCTTTAGTGGGCTGGAGAGATAGTTCGGCATTTAAGAACACTGGCTGCTCTTGCATAGGACCTGGGTTTGGTTCCCAGCACCCACATGACAACTTACAAGCATCCATAACTGCATTTCCAGGGGGATCCAACACCCTCTTCTGGTATTGTGGGCACTGAAAGCACATGGTGTTCTTATGCAACCAAATGCTCAAACACATACAATAAAAAATGTCCTTCCTGGGCGCAGAGGGCCTCCTTTGAGTACTTTGAGTCCCTTTACCCATCTTCTTATGGACCCAGAAGACAAGATGTTGGGTCTGAATACTGAGAGAGAAAAGTGATGGAAAAGGGGACTCTCTTCTGAGGAGACAAGCAAGTTCTCTGTTGAGAATTTAGGGGAGGCTGTGCCACCAGAGTCTTCGGGGGAAAGTGCAGGAACAGACAACCAGGAGTCACGATTATTGTGGAGAAAGCTTCTGCTGTCTTGGCACTGAGCTCCTCTCCCTGTTTCTGAATGAGCAGAGAGATGTGAGCATTGTAGTGTTCAGGGTTAAACCTACAAGTTAAATACTAATTATAAGGGAGACGAGGTACCTCTTTATGGCAAGGTAATGGTGGTGCTGGTCACTGTGGCCATGCAAGGACAGACAGATGCCATGTGACCCTGACAGGCTTCATGGCTGAATGATCATTTCTCTCAGGTATGTGATTATGGAGCATCCTTCCTCAATTGTTCCAGCCTCTGATGCCTCATTTAACTCTCACACAAATCCAAAGGGCATCTTTATTTCTATTTTGCCAAAAGGGAATCCCAGGACCTAAGAGATGGAGTTTCTTCTTAAATATCACACAGTGGGGAGCTTAGTATTCTGCCCTTGTTGCTCTGACTCAGTCCCCTCTAACCCAGGGGTCAGCACACCGTGGCCTTTTGTATGGATGCGGCCACACCCTTGTGGGTGCTGTTGTCTGGGGATATTTTCTTGTTCTAACAGCTGACTTGAAAGGTTTCTGGTTTCTAAAGAGCTCTCTATTTTGTCTTCCTCTCCCACATTGTCAGTCTCAATTGTTGCCAGCCAGCACCAACCCTTACCAGGACAATACACATAGCTTCCTCCCTCTACTTAAAAAAAATTATTCACTTTTATTTTATGTGTATGAGTGTTTTGCCTGCATGTATGCAAGTGCACCTGTGTATGCAATGCCCGTGGAGGCCAGAAGAGGGCACTGGATATCCTGGAAGTGGAGTTGTGGTTGTCAGCCACCTTGTGGGTGCTGGGAAATGAACCCTCATCCTCTGCAAGAGCAGCAACTGATCTTCACCTCTGAGCCATCTTTCCAGGGTTACTCCCTCTACGCATTTCTTTTGATCACCACCTTCACAGATGAGCCTTCCAAAACGCACTCTTGCTTCCACTACTGTTTTGCCTACAATATTTAAAAATGTTCCTTATTGCCCTTAAAGTTCAAAATCTTTCTAAGGAACTCCCCAGCTCTGTGAGACCTGCCTCCTGCCTTCAGTGCTGTCATCATCTGGAAGCACTGCCAGCCACACAGGCCTCCTTGAAGTGTGCCATATGTACCATGCTCCTTCTAACCACAGGGCCTTTGCAACTGCTGTTCTCTCTTCCTGGAATGCCCTCTCAACTTGTTACAGTGGACTCATCCTTTTACTCTTTGTTCCTTTGCATTACTTGATCACTTCAAACCTGTCACATAAGAATATACAGGCTGGATGATATGCAACTCTGGAGAGATACGCCATTCATGATTTAGTGTACATATGGACTCTCTCCTTGGAGGTGGGGAGATTGGTGGGAAAAGGGCATGTCTGAGTCACCCAGATGGACAAATTGTTGGGACACTGCCACGTGCCGGCACTATGTTCAGCATTTCACACAATCCATCCCATTTACTTCTCCCAATAACCTAATGAGACAGTTATTAATACTAATATTACAGAAAAGGAAACAGAAGCTGTCAGAGGTAATGCTAGAGCCTCCATCTCTACAGTTAAAACTTAGGCTCTTGCCTATTAAGTCTCTTGGAAAATTCAGTCTTCTTCATGCTGGAGGGAAATTCATCATTCCACTGCTGCTTCTTAAATCTCCCTTTCCCAAGGTGTTGGTTTACTGAGCAAGAGGATGGGAGGGAGCGAGAAAGCATCCTTGAGAAGCACAAGCTGGAAGGGGCAGTGTGCTACGGAGGATGGGTCCTGAGTGGGAATGAGAGAGGGTGGTTGACCTTCAGAAAATAAGAACCCCCACAAGCTTATGAAAGATGGTTTATTACTTCTCCCCTTGAGAGGCTCAGTGTAGCCATCCTCATCTCTCTGGTGAACTCTTCAGTTCAAGTCACACTGCTTTGGGAATGGGAATTGTGCTTTGAAGGACTCGATGAAGTGTGAACTAGGGGAGTGGAGGCAGATAGGCGACAGTTGGAGAATGGGATATGGATGGAGCCAGAGTTCCAGAGCCACACCTCACTTTCCTTTGCATGTCAGGGCTCCAAAGTAGCACTCACTTGTTCTTAAACCAGGAACCTCCAGGAAACTCAGGTGTGCTGGCTACAGGGAGTGTAACTAATCTTACCAAGGAATTGTTCCCATCTCTCTATAATAAGTATGTGTGATTTTTACGTATAGAATCATAAACCATGAATTGAAAATATAATGATTGAGATCATGAAAACGTTTTGAAATAAACTTATTACAGACAGACTGATACTATCAATGGCCTTAGGGTTGGCAATGGCAGCTATGTGGAGATGTAACAGTAGGTGGCGCTAGATGCCATAGCTTTCAATCAAATTCTAGTTTCTTTTGATCTGTTTTTCTCTGCTTCTCTCAGGTCTCACTTGATTGGAATGGAAATTGGCTGCCAGCATCCTTGAGCCCCCATCAGCCAGGGACTAAGCTGGTATGCTAACAGCCAATATGCTAGTTTAAAAAATTAATAAAACTCACTAATCTCATAGGGTCTTTTCAAAGACTAAATATGAGGAAACAGCAGTCCAGCTGTCAGATACTGGTAGCCAATCCAAATCCATGTGATAAACTGGGGTCTGTCCTTCACAGCCCTAAAGGAGCTTAAGGAAATAGGCTCTGAGATCAGACAACGAGTCTATTCTGTGTTTTAAGATTTTCCAAGAAAAGTTCTAGTAATTCTAACAGTGCTTAGGTTCCATGTGTCTGGGATGCACTACGGTTCCATGTATCTGAATGCACTAAGCTTTTGACAGAACATGGACTTCAGTTCCAGTGTCAGCTTCAGTTTAGCTATGGGCAGTCATGGCTGTCTGGAGCATCTTTTAGTTCAATTTCATCAGAAAAATTTCTGTGACTGATTGGCAATGTCTGTCATGGACCCAGGAGGGAGCAGCTGCAGCAAGGATACACACTTGCCATTTCTGATCACTCAAAAGGCTGAATGATGGGGTTGGAGAGCTGGCTCAGCGGTTGAGAGCACTGGCTGCTCTTGCAGAGGACCTGAGTTCAATTCCCAGCACCCACAGGGTGGCTAACAGCTGTCTGTAACTCCAGTTCCAGGGGATTCGACACCTTCTTCTGACCTCCGTGGCCAATGCATGACATGGGTGCACTTATATACATGCAGGCAATACACTCACTCATATACATAAAATAAATAAAATAATAAATAAAATATTTTTTTATAAGAAGTTGACTGCTGTGACTACTACTAGCACTGTTTTATGATCAAAGAGACCCGAAGCCAAGAGGACTTAAAACACTTGCCCAAGGTCACTCAGCCAATGGGAAGTCAATTTAGAAGCTTAGCCAATCTCATTGTCTACAGAAGCCTCAGTATTTGCACATCACACCACGGTTTACTCAATTTCTTTGGAATCCAACGCTATTTGAAATTTGTCCTGAAGAAATGAAACACACATTGATCTAGGAAAGTCTCCTTCCCCATTATCAACATCCTAATAAGAAGATTGTGTGGAGAGGGTTAAAGCCCTGGGGGTTTCACTACATTTTCCTTTTCCCTGGAAGAAGATCAAGTTCACAGCTCTGCTACAATCAAGTGAACCTCCCTGAAGGTCCAAAATTTTAGCTTCTGTGATGATTCATTTTCATTATCAACTTGGCTGGAATCACCTAGGAGACACCCCTGTGAGTAGGTTTGTGAGGGTGTTTTCTGAGAGGTTTAACTGAAGAGCAAAGACCAATCCTGAATGAGGGTGTCACCATCCCATGGGCTCTGAGTGGACTGAATAAAAAGGAGAAGTCGAGCTGGGGCATCAAGATTCATCTCTCTTGGCTCTCTGACTGGATGCAGTGTGACTGGCCACCAAATGCCCCTGTTGCCACAGCTAGAACTACTCTTGCCACCCTGACTTCTCCACCATGATGGACTGAACCCTCAACTGGGGAGTCAAAATAAACCCTTCCTTCCTAAAGTGACTTTAGTCAGGAGCCTCCGATTCCAACTTCGCTTTTGACTCACTTTTCCTATGAAAAGCATGTAATCTTTCACATGAGACTGAGCTTAAGTGGCTGATGAAATAGCAGAAAACCCAGCTGCAAAAGAGCTGATAGGGGATGTGAGTTTCAATGTGACTACAGGGCTATTGGGGTGTGATTTCCAGCTGTCCCCAGGATACCTTCAGTGCTCACTTACACAGGCCACATTAGGAGGCTCAGTGGGTGGTAAGAGCAGCTCGGCGTTCATGACCGTTGCTAGACCTTGCAGTTGTGTAGTCTATGTTGGCCTCAAACTCAAATTGCAGTCTGAGCTAGCCTTGAACTTTCAGTCCTGCAGTCTCTATCTCCTGAGTATTTGGTTCGTAGCTAAATATTTTAAAATACTTATGATTTAGCGACTGGTTATGGATGTAATGGGGGCCAAGATGAACATATAGGCACCAAACACAGCTCAGGGGCAGCACGGCTTTTTTGTAAAGCTCAGTTCAAGCTGAACACTAGAAGCCAAGCATCTCTGGCTTTCCCCACCCTCATTTCTGCGTCTCTCCTCTGTCCCTGCAGCAGGTCACAGAAACGAGAATTCTGCTCTCTAAAGGAAGCCATAACATCTAGAAAAGGCACAAAGGCACTCTCGGATCTCCCCCCTGCCAAAGTCTTCATGAGACAGGTATTCTGCTCCCATATCTGAAGGAAGAAATGGAAAGACAGAGACAGAGACAGTGAGGGGAGAGAGGAATCTGAGCAGTTCTTGCTGAAACCCTTCTAACCCTAGTTTATTAACACTGATCATGCCTCTTTCCGTCCAATCATTTTTCTCCACCACTATCCACTGTCTGCTTCTTTCATCAGACTTAGTACAAAAACACACGGTTTCCCCTGGGTCTTCAGGCCATCATTTCTGAAGACTCTGGTGCCATGGGACAAAAAGCACAGTTAAATGCAATTGCTATGCTTTTTTCTTGTTAATCTCTCTTACTTCAGAGTCTGATTCTTTAGACAGTAAGTAGATGATGTTACTTTTCTACCCCATAGGTGTTTTAGACAGAGGCAACCACCAGGAGCTTAAATATAGAGTATGATGTAATTGGAGGGTCAAGAGGGGTCATAAGACTCTTTTGATGTCCTCAAGCAGGAGGGAACACTTCGGAAGCTGGTAGTGCCGTCAAGAGGCCATGAGAAGTCACTTCAGCAAAATCAGTTTAGGGACAAGGACAAGTCCTTTAGCCAAGGACTGAAGATAAAGCATTTTCAAAATCAACTTAGTGTTTCCAAATGGTTTAGAAACATACAAAGGGGAGGTAGCTAAACACCCCACTTCCATTTTGTCGATGAGCTGTTCATTTCCCACTCTATAAATGACTAATGCTGCCGAGTTCTTGTGAATTCTCATCACACACAGACACAGACACACAGACACACACATAAAGTGCTTGTCATGCACGTATGAGGACCTGAGTTTGATTCCCTGAACCCACGTAAAAATACAGGGCAGACATGTACCTATAATCCCAGAACTGGGGAGGTGTAGACAGAAGGCTCCCTGGAGTGTGCTGGCTAGCCAGTCTAGCCAAATTTGCAAGCTCCAGGTTCATTGAGAGACCCTGTGTCAAAAAATAAGATGGAAAATGATTAAGGAAGACACCCAACATTTACCTCTGGCCTCCACACACACATGCACACAGATATACACAGATAATTCAAGTTTTGTTTTCCCTGTACCCATCTCCAGTAAGCAGCTTCCAAGATGGCCCCAGCAACTTTCCTTGGGATCCTTTCCATCTAGAGATGGGCTGTATCCTGTAACGCCCTTGGAATGAGTAGAATGCTACAGAAATGGTACATAGTAACTTCTGAGGTTTGGTGACAGAGCGAACATAACTTTTACCTTGGACTTTGGCTCATGCTTTGGGGAAATCCAGCTTCCAGATTGTGAGGCTTCCCTTTCAAAGGAACCCATGTCACCAAGGAACTGGCATGTCTGCCATCACCAGTGAGCACCTGCTACCTGCTGATAGTTATGTGAGTGAGTTCAGAAGCTGCCTCCCCCGACACTGAGTCTTGAGAGACCAGTAACCCTGTGGTCATCTTGGTTGTTGCCTTGAGGCACCCTGAGCCAGAGGCCTGCAGCTGAGCCATGCTAGTATTCCCAGCTCACAGCAGCTGGAGGTGATAAATGTTTGTTGTCTTAAGCTGCTGCCTTCTGGAGTTATCTGCAATATAGCAATACATCACTGAAGTGCAGCCACAGAGGACTGAACTCTCCATAGGAAACAGGTGGTACTCGGGGTTACATAAACTCACTTAATTTCTCCTTAGGGTCTAATCACAGGTTTAATGGAACTTCCTAGACCATAGCGCTCTCAACTCTTTGCAAGGTGTGCATCAGCTTGGGGGGACAGGGGGCTGCATGGCTTGGTTGCAGACAAAATTCCTTCCATACCCAACTTAGCCTGGGGGATAGTTGATGGTGGTATTAGGAATCACAGACTTTATTATAATTAATACACGTTACTAGCACAGAGTCATATGCTTCACCATGATGTTTCCACATGTGTAAATATCATGCTTTGACACGTCTACCTTCCCTCTCGTGCTCTCTTCTCCCAACTTCCTGCAGCCCCTCCCTTCCCCTAATGGTCTTTCTTCTACTTTCAGGTCATCTTTTAAAAAATTCATTAAAAAATTAGCTTCCATGTATGACAAAAACCATAGTTGTAGTCCTTTTACATGTGTGTGTGTATGTGTGGGATGTACACATACAGGCATGCCTTACTCTCTGGAGACAGGAGATCTTATTGAACCTGGAGCTAGACTGGTAGCCACTAAGGCCCAGTGATCCTACTGTCTCTGGTTCCAACCCTAGTACTGGGGTTCCAGGTGGGTGCTGGGGATTTGAACTCAGGTCCTCATGCTTGCACAGCAAGTGCTCTTGCCCACTGAGACATCTCCTTAGCTACCGATATTTGTCCTTCTGTGTCTGGCTTATTTCACTTAGCATAATATCTACTAGTTTCATCCACTTTCCCACAAATGGGCTAAATTTATTCATTTTTATAGATATATTTTATCTTTTTGTCCATTGATGGGCATCTAAGCATCTTAGTATTGTGAATAGGGTCACAATAAACCTGTATGCAGGTATCTGTGGTATGCTGACTTCATTTGCTTCGGCTGTAATACCAAGGAGGATGTGATAGCTCTAATTTTAGATTTTTGAGGCACATCATGTTGATTTCCATAGTACTAATTTACATTCCCCACCAATAGTATATAAGGGTTCCCTTTACCTCCCCAGATTTTGTTTTTTTGTTGTTGTTGTTGAGACTTTTAAAATTAGTGTCTATGCACATGTTTAGATATACCTTACATCTTATTTTAATTTCCTTAGGGTGCTTCATCTTGTTCTAGTATTTCTGTATTCCATTTCCTGGATGGGTCATTTATGACAAGGGAGTTGGTATATTCCCTTTGTGAATGTTCTGTGCTGGCCCAACTGGCATCATGGGAATGGATCTGGAAAATTTTATGATGAGCAGATGTTTGTTCCCAGCAGGTGTCTAAGTGATATTTTCAGCCAGTGTGTTCTGGACAGTGAGACGTTTAAAGCTAGTGAATGAAGGAGCTTGATAAATGCAAAAGTCAGCTGCAGCTGCGGTACCTGTCACCATCTCAGCAGCTGGAGGAAGAGGTTAAGCCTGTAAGCTGCTTCACTAGCACCCCAGCCCTGTGGACTGGCGAGCCGATCAAAGTTTAGGTTTCAAGATTCTGCTTACGTTTATGAAGTCAAAAGGAAACCGAGCGTCTCCAATTTAAATTCTTTTTGTCGTATTTGGCTTAGCAATTTATTTTCTTCTGCATTCATATTTTAAACACAATGTCTAAAACCACTGACTTAAGTAGGTCTGCTTTTCATGCCATAAATTGTGTCTTCTCTCTCTCCTCGTCTGGTTTCCAGCCTTGCAATGTGTGCAGGGAGTGTGACCTTGTTACACTGCATCTTTGGTCTAGGGCACAATGCCAAGCCAAGAGTGGTTTCTTGGCAGTTGTTTGCTGAGTGAGTAGATGAACGGATGTGATCATCGATGCCTTCATTTTTAACTTTTAGACTCAGCTTAGGGACAAAGCCTGGATGACCAAATCTCAGATATGGGAAAGAATATGATACTGTTCATCCTGAAAACACAGAAGTCATAGTAAAAGACAGGAGAGCTGACAAGATGCCGAGTTCTTCCTCCACAAAGGAGCCAAAGATGCTGTCTGTGGTAGGTGGGAAGGAAGCACGAGTGTGACATGATTTTTAAAGTTTCACTACTTTTGAGGGGCTAGGAAGGAGATAGGAAGTGGTGTTGGGACACAAAGGGGCTAGAGCTCCTCTTTCACAGCAGGTCAGTGACGTCCTAAATGCATGTTGGAAATACAGGTAAAACTTGGAACAATCTCCAGACATGATATACCAGCTACTTTTGTGTCTCTGTGAAAAAAATGCCCAAAACAAAGAAATTAAGGGAGGAAAGATTTACTTTGGCTCCTAGTTTCAGAGGATTTCAGTACATTTTGGTGGAGCAGTTCCGTTTATGGACAGTCGTAGGTGGCAGAGACTGTTCACGTCATGGTAGACCACGAACCAGGGATCAGGCTAAAACTAGGGGCCAAATACAACCTTCAAAGATCCCCCTGCCCAGGATCCCACTTCTGCCCACAAGACTGCACAATCTAAAGATTCCACAACCTCCCAAATAGCTCTGTTATCTGGGAATAAAATGTTCAAAACGTGAGCTCATGGTGGACATTTTAGGTTCAAACCATGACACAGATTGTTGGAAGAATGAGTCAAAGTGTCAGAATTGGCTGTCATGGGCAAAGGCGCAAAGGGTTAGGAGACAAGGAGGAAGGACTCCTGTTCTTTAATACATTTTGCATGCTATTTTTCTAAGGTTATTATGCTTTACACTAATTTTCTAAAAAAAATAAAAAACAGTTCAAGAGCTCTGGTTAGAATGAAAATAGAGAGCCCCACTTTACTCCTGTGAAAATCAACAGGTACAACGAACCTGGCTAATATCCATTCTCATTTCAGAATCAAGACAAAATTAATTTGGAAAAGAAAATACAGCCAGGGAGCAGAGTTAGCAACCTCAGGAAATTCAGGGAAATGTAATTGAGTAAGAATTATCTCCTTAATTACTTCTGACCAAATCAATAACAACGCTAGACCAGCGGCTGCGGCCGCCACCAATGAGCATCAAG